ATAGATAGATAGATAGATAGATAGATAGATAGATGGATGGATGGACGGATATATGGACGGACTTCAATTATTGTTTTAATAGATAGATAGGTGGATGGATGGATGGATGGATGGATGGATGGATGGACGGACTTCAATTATTGTTTGAATAGATGGATGGATGGATGGATGGACTTCAATTATTCTTTAAATGGATGGACGGACGGACGGATGGATGGGCTTCAATTATTGTTTGGATGGATGGATGGAGGGATGGATGGATGGATGGATGGACGGACTTCAATTATTGTTTTAATAGATAGGTGGATGGATGGATGGATGGATGGATGGATAGATGGATGGGTGGATGGATGGGTGGACGGACGGACGGACTTCAATTATTGTTTAAATTGTTTAAACCTTGTGATAAACTGCCAGAACATTTTCTGTGATTTTTTTTTTATATATGATTTTTAGATATTTCTTTTATACATTATATTATTTCAAACTACTTAAATTTCAACAAAAGTCACTTTGTTAAACTGTAGCAGATCAAAATCCCATGATGTAATTCCCACCCATAAGTAAACAAGAAACGCTTATGAAGCACAAAATATTGGAACTGTAATTAGCTGATATTTTTTTACTGAGTAGGTAGAGAGTAAGATCAGCTCACTAGGATTTGTACTGATAGAAATGAATTTAGCTCAACATTCTAGTAGCTCAACAATCCAGTTATAGTGGCAGCTCTGACTGATTCACACAGAACAACATGTGCATATCAGTAGCAGAATAAGCGATGTTCAGCCCTCAGAGAACACAAATAGATGCATATGACTGATAACATGGATTCACACGCGTGCATGTCTGATAACCTGCGTCTCATGTTCAGTTTAATAAAGACATCTCCTCTTTTCACGCTGTCTCACTCTAGTCTTCTCGCTGTCCTCCTGTCTGTCCCCTTGGGTCAGGTGTAATTTACATTGAGCGATGTGTGCGTGTGGATGGACAGGGTCATTAAATAGAGGGCTCTAGAATGACACATGATGCATAGCAGCGGTGGAACCGTTATATTGTGAGGTGTCTGGAGCACTGTGTGTGTGTGTGTGTGTGTGCGCAGAGTATGTGTGTCCCATCACTCAGGTGCAACCCTAATGGAAGGCCCGTCGCTGACAGGCGCTGACAGATCACCCATCCCATAATGCCTAGCTGCAACAGTCATTAGATAGCCCTGCTAATGTCTGACCTCTTTCACTGTTCTTCTCATCGCTCATCTGCAGAAAGAGGGAAGGTGAGAGAGCGGAGAAAGATATGATGATGAAAGGAGAAAAACAAGTTGCTTCAATTTCTTTTCCTGTCTAGATTAGACGTAAATCCAGATTACGTAAGTGTGAACAGTCTGAGCGGGATAGAGAAGTCATATAATTATCCTGCACATAAAGGAACACTGGATACTCCAAACAGTAAGTGACATCATCATGTTCCCATTACCTAAAAGAAAACACACACACACACACACACCTGTGAAACAGAAACTGAAGCCATGTGTTTCAGGCCGTTGCTGCAGAGAAACATGGCTGCCATCACTTCCCATTAGGCTGTAGGCAGATGAAATGCTGAGAGACATTAAGGTAATGTTACAGCCCAATAAAGTATTTAAAGACCCCCAGGGGCACGCTCTCATGGGGACTGAGGAACCAATGGAAAGAGAGGGAAACAGTGAAAGAGAAGAATAGTCGTGCTAGAGGATCTTGATTATCTCACTTTCTGTCTTTGCATGGCCATGCGATTGTTCTCAGTTTGAAATAATAGCTAATAAACAAGAAAATACATTGTATGGCGTTAACATTTGACCTTATAGGGACAGTTCACCACCAAAACCCTGTCATTGTTTACTCACTCTCATATGACTTTTACTTCCAAACTAAACATGAAAGGAAACAAGATATGCTAAATAATGTTCAAAAGTTTTAAAAGTCTTAAAAAACATCTCACTGGACTATTCCAAGCTTTAGAAAAGACAAAAAGCTGGTCATATCACCCTGCAGCCCAAGACCGGTTACTCACTGAAGCTAAGCAGGGCTGAGCCTGGTCAGTACCTGGATGGGAGACCACTAGGGAACACTAGGTTGCTGTTGGAAGTGGTGTTAGTGAGGCCAGCAGGGGGCGCTCAACCTGTGGTCTGTGTGAGTCCTAATGCCCCAGTAAAAGTGAAGGGGACACTACACTGTCAGTGGGTGCCGTCTTTCGGATGAGACGTTAAACCGAGGTCCTGACTCTCTGTGGTCATTAAAAATCCCATAGCACTTCTCGTGAAAGAGCAGGGGTGTAACCCCGGTGTCCTGGCCAAAGTCCCTCTATCGGCCCTTACGATCATGGCCTCCCAATCATCCCCTTCCATCGAATTGGCTCGATCACTGCATGTCTCTCCACTCCACCAATAGCTGGTGTGTGGTGGGCGCACTGGCGCCGTTGTCCTGTGGCTGCCGTCGCATCATCCAAGTGGATGCTGCACACTGGTGGTGGTGTGGAGAGACCCCCCTCATGATTGTAAAGCGCTTTGGGTGTATGGCCGTACACAATAAATGCGCTATATAAATACACATTACATTACATTTTACATTACATATGGTGTATTTATGTTTTTATATTTCAATCTGTTCCTCACACAAGAGTATGTTTTCTTTTGTTGCCACATATAAGTGTAAATAGTTCTAGGGCTCTATTTTACCGATCTTGGAGCAAAGTTCAAAGCGCAGGGCGCAAAAGCATTAAGGGCATGCATGTCCGAATCCACGTTTGCTATTTTAAGGATGAAAAAAATCCACTTTGTGCTGCAGCGCATGGTCTAACAGGGTTGAGTTTATTCTCTGAGTGAGTTATAGGTGTGTTTTGAGAATAAACCATCAGAGTCTCATCTCCCATTCCCTTTAGGAGTCTTTTTTTCACTTGTAAAGATATTTGCGTATTCCTGTAAATCAAAATTATATTAAGCAATGTGTTAACTTTATTCTCAATAAAAAAAAATTATAAACTGGATGATGAGAAAAGGATAAACGTTGATTCATGCTGAGATGGATTGGAAGGCAGAAATCCGAATCCTTCAGTGCAATAAATATTTATTCAGCGACTACATTAGACAACAAGTACATAAGAGACATTGGTGCCCAAAATCACATATTCTCTGTGTGGGTTAGAAATGACTTTCTATGTATAATTGTGTCGTGTAAATGCAGTGTAAATGAGCTACACCTGTCATGATGTTAATGATGTTTGACTAAAGCTGCAGTCACACTGCACTTTTCACCCTATAGATATGCGAATGCAACAGACTGGAAATGCAAGTTAGCGCGACAAATTTTGCATATTACTGTGTTCGAACGTTTAAGCTTGGTAAACTCTGACCTGCGAAATCGCATCACATGATTGCATGAAACCAACAGAAGATCAAATCATGACCTCTCTATACAAAAATTTGGAGCAGTCGCTCACTTTTTAATGCCTACTCATTCTGTTTATTACCGCTCCTTTTCACAGTGCCATATGAAGAATTTTGTAAGCTCAAACTATTGTGTGACTGTAGTTTTACAACACATGCGAATCACTTCACCATTAATCAAATCCATCACTAGTCTATGGCCATATGGTCAGCAAGAAGCAGGTCATCCATTACTTTTTGCCTTTAGTTCATTCTGTAAATTTGAACATATTTACCTTATTTATTGCTATTTTGGAGTGCACTCTTTTCTGCGGTTGTTTTAGTACTTCTGATTCATTTGCCTATTGTGAAATGACTCATAAATGGCAATTCACTAAATCATCAAGCTATTTGCTTTACAAACATTAGTGTTTATGACAATAGCAATACAATCTCACCGAAAAAACGCTATTCGTATGATCTCATTATACAATTTAGTACAATTTGCTTATCCCCAATGACGATTGGCTTAAGGCAGTGGTTTTCAAACTGTGGTACGTGTACCACTAGTGGTACGCAGGCTTCCTTCTAGTGGTACGCGGAGGAATAAAATATGTCATGTATATGCTACATATTTCAAAATTTAGCAAAAAATATGTATATAATATTCCATATATGACTTATAGCCTATATTTCTGAGGTAATCTGCCACGTTTTTTTAACTGTGCAGAGTTGTAGCTGCTTTACTGGGCCTACTACGCTACTTTATTTCAATACTGCTCATTTTGGTGGTACTTGGGGAGACAATTTTTTTCTGAGGTGGTACTTGATGAAAAAAATTCGAGAACCACTGGCTTAAGGGGTACGGTTGGGTGCCATGCCTCCTTTTTAAATCGTACATTTTCATATAACTGAACTGAATTAGCCACTAAACTGACAAAATGTAAAGCAGTTATGTTTTCTTGTGAGATCTAGCTGGACAATACATCAACATTTTAAATAATAAGAAATATAAGTTTACACTATCAAGCTGAAAAATTTGCTGTTTTTAATGACTAAAAAAATCATTGGAAGTGAATGAGACTGGAACCCTTGAGCCAATAAGATTCCAATCTTACAAGAATAAGTTCAATAGCACTAAAGTAGCTGTTTTACATACTGTATTTCACCATCTTTGTAGAGAAGTATGCATATTTACATAGTCAATGAACAATCAAATATCGTATGGGTTTGGAACAAGGGTTAATGATAAGTAAATTGAGGTGTAAAATATACCTTTAACTTGTTTGTTGTATGAAAGCAAGTTTATCCAGTGGATGTGAAATTGAGAACATAACAACTAGCAGATAATTCTCTGAGGCTTCTTCAAGTTAATCATCAAATGGGACATCCTACATGCAGATTTGAACCTTAAACATGAAAAAAATCCAAAATGCAGCCACATTGTACAGTACCATGCTTGCAACGATAATGATCGCACATCCATTAAGAACGTGGTCGAACGACTGTCCAGGAAATAGTCTGGCTGTATTGATTTCTCACAAGCCTTTTTATTGCATTGCAGCAAATAGCTAATAGCCCTGCATTCCTACTCTATGGTGAATTATTAAACAGAGTGTTTTGTTATGTGTCAGTAACAAAGTCATTGTGGATTTATTGTAGCTGATATCCGATGCTCCCAAAGAGTCGCACACACCAGCAGTTCTCTGATCCTCTGTCAGCGGCGATCAGGCCAAACGGAAACCAATGGCCTATAGACCTTACAGACTAACATAAAGCTAATGCGATGTGGCCAGATCTATGCGAGGAAATCTATGGCGTTTACTGGGTGTAATGGGCTAAAGATGGAGGAGCCGCTTCACTCACAGGTGGAACAGAATAATCTTGCACATAATTTCCTGTGGTGAGACATTCGACTAAAACAGAGAGAGAGAGAAAGAGAGGATATTAAAACTAGAGAGAGATTACTGCAGAAACAATGACTTAGAAAGTGATAAAGCACTTGGCAATGACCTAATGTGAACAGAAGAGATGGGGGGAGAGAGAGAGCAAAGGATGATAAAAGCAGAGAGAAAGAGAGAGAGAGAGGCAGAGAAGTAGAGGAGTTAGTTAAGATTCAGGAGGGCTGCAGTAGGCCTATCATTACCATACATCAAGACAATAAATGAGGCTTTCAGCGGGCCGTAATAAGAGTTTGATAAATCATCAGGCGAGAATTAACTAGACGTCAAAACAATGTGCAGGGCCTGATGGATGGGAAGGGTGGGGGCCAGGACACACATTAGTCAGGCTGGCCACTGACACACACTCACACACACTCTGAGGGTGGGGGCCGTGCACACATTAGTCAGGCTAGTCACTGCCATGCACACACACACACACACAGGAAAGGGGAGGAGAGAAAGCCAACAAGGTCACAAGAAAGTGTGTGTGCAGAAGAAGGTCAGAGGGGAGATTTTGATCAAAGGAAGAGGTGTGTGTTCGGTTACATGCAATAAAGATGGACTGGAAGACGTGTGTGAGGCTTACATGACAGAAGGTTAAATGAATAGTTGAGATTCGGTCACTGCTTGATCATCTTCATGTCATTCTGAACTTGTATGCTGTGGTTTTTGTCATGGTACACAAAAGGAAAACTATTTAAAACATTTTACACAGCGACTGCACCAGTCGAGCCTGAGGACAAAACAAAAGATGAAAGGTTTATGAGTGGAACTAAAAGAATTATATCATCTCGTTTGTGCTGAAGCTTAAGTTGTATATGGGTCAAAAACAAGAGCGGGTTTTAAACATCAATATATATTATTATTATTTACACAATATGCAGTTTCAGACTACTAAGTTATTTTCATTAACTTTTAACTTCATCAAAAGATACATTTTCAACATCAAAAGATGTACAGTAAGAGCTAAAATCAGTGACCCAAAATGCAATTTGAAATGGAAAATGAACAGAAAACTGTTGTGATTTGTGAGCTATAGGTAGAGACAGACATTATCCGCTGACTTTTTTGCTTTATCTGCAGATTATGCTGAAAGATTTTGAGGAGAGAAATGAAAAACATTACATAAAATAAAACTAGAGGCGGCACAGTGGCAAGAAGGTCATGGGTTTGGGTCAGTTGGCATTATTGTGTGGAGTTTGCATGTTCTCCCTGTGTTTGCGTGGGTTTTCTCCGGGTGCTTCGATTTCCCCCACAGTCCAAAGACATGCGCAATAGGACAATTGAATACACTAAATTTGCTGTAGTGTATGTGTGTGAATGTAAGAGTGTATGTGTGTTTCCCAATACTGAGTTATGGCTGAAAGGGCATACACTGCATAAAAGATAAGTTGGTAGTTAATTCCGCTGTGGCGACCCCTGATAAATAAAGGGACTAAGCTGAAGGAAAATGAATTAAAGTAATAAAAATATATTCTTTTATTTAAGGTTTAAAATGCAAATAATATTAGAGCAGCTCTCTTATACAGCCACTAAAATTGTGAGAATATTACTTTACAAACTTTTTTTTTGCACATAAATCATTGAAATACAGTATTTGCATATTGCCTATAGAATATACACGATATATCACTTGTATAGTTTTGAATAGGGAAAAGTGTAACACCTAACAACACGTAACACAAGATTTCAGTGACAAGCAATTTGACTGTCTGCACCAAAAGTGACTTAATATGAAAGAAACATTTGAATACCAGCCACTGCACTTCCAACGCAATGATGAAGGCTTTTAATCTAATTTAAGCATATTAAACCTCTTTAACATTATTAACGGGCTATGAGTGACTGATGTTGTTGGTTTGCACTGAATCGCTGTTCTATATTTAATTTTCAAGCCGTCTGCTAGTTATTTTATTTTCAAGATATGAGAATATCTTGCACTGCTTAAAGTAGTATTACAGTAAGTGTCATGTAAAATGGTATTTAAATTTACATTGGGAGCATTTAACACTGAATAAAGCACATAACCTGTACCTGAGGAGATCTTTGTCGTAGTAGTATATGCTGTTCTTCTGCCATGGCATGATCTCGCTTCTTTTGACCACGTATTAGCTTGTGCAACCTGAAAAAAATGCTGATGTAGTTTGATTCGAACATTCATAATTGTAACTTAAGACGATTGATGTTTAACTTTATCTGTGATTCCGGATAAAAAATGTAACCATGTTATGATGTGTTGCTCTTGCAGGCTGCTGGAGAACACTCACATTTAACTGCACTACAAATCCCATCATGAACTTCACTCACACACCTGGCCTGGATCCCCTATGATTGCAAACAGATACAGCTGAAGCTGTTCAGGACTAATTACACAGACTATTTATACACCTCTCAAACAAACACAAACACACCATGCTGAGTCTTGTTGATTATACCCTTTAACATTTCTAAGCATTTCCTGGGTCTATCCGTGTTTGGCCCTTGCTTTGTTTCCTTGTTTACGTTGTCTGCCACCTGTATCGACCATTTGCCTTTGACCTGACTACGCTTTTGGAATGTCCTCATGCTTGTGTTTGTTCCCTTTGACCATTGCCTGCCTGGTTAAGTTTTCAATAAACTGCACATGGTTTTACAGTTACAAAGCATAAGCTTGGCAAACAGTTTTTGGAGAACTGGATTCCCCATTCAAACAGAATAGCTGAGCATATTGCCCGAGAGGTATTTCAAAGATGACCACCGTGTAAAATGATTTGCCTTCAAAGGATCAATGATAGGCTCAGAAATCTGTGGAAATCCATTACAAATTCCCTCTGGGAAACTATAGGCAACTGTTATTGAACAGATACTTTTTTATACGTGGTTACATGAACTACTCTAATTTCCCTCTTCTGTGTGTTGGTACTTTTTGGAGTTTACAGCGCTGTGAACCATTGCTCAGATTAATAAAAAAAAACTCCTCAAAGTATGAGCAATACAAATATATACAGTACCGGAACAAAATGTATATGAGTAAACAATGACAGAGTTGTTATTTTTGGGTGAACACTCCTTTTAACAAAAAGAAGCCCTCGAAGACAAATGATCGACCAGAGGAAAGAGGGTGAGAATAATGAGAAAATAAAAGAAAGAATGAGAGAAACCCAGATCTCTTGGCTTAAGCAGTTCCAAACAAAACAAAGTGAAAGCAAACAGTTTTGAACAAATGAACACTGTGTCTAATCTTGTGGTAATCTAGAATACGGTCCGTTTTCAACTCAGAGAAAGACAAACAAACACATCCATTTCTTCACAATGAAAGAGAAAAAGTGTGGAGGTGAAAATAGGAGGAGGCTGGGGATAAATGAAGGGACTGGAGTCTGTGTGCGTGTGTGTGTGTGTTCTTGTGATGAGCAGCATAAGTAGGCTACAGTGCAAGGCATTAGGGGCCTGGTGTCACAGTCAGCGTCGTCTTCCTCTCCTCTCTCTCCTGCCCACCGCAGGGAGATTTAATTGCGTGGCGTTGACCTTTCCACGGTCGCCTTGACAACCCTGTGGGCAGCGGGGAGAGGTGACGGCTGCCCGATTACTTCTGACAAGGCGAGCGGGCACTAACGATGACGAGGAAGATGAGGACGAAGAGTGGATAATTAGAGCTCATAGTCAGCATTGGCTAGTCGCTACTGCCAAGCTCCAAGGACTCCTATGTCAAGTCTACTCAGCCTTTGGGTACTTGAGCGAATGTGTGTGTGTATGAACCTGTCAGGCCAGGGAGCAGAGGGCTAAGCTAAAGCGACAGTTCGATTGAACAGCACGAGGCACAATTACTACGTAACACTCAGAGGATAATAATGTTCCGCAGTAACACACACACACACACACGCACATACACACACACACACACACACTGCTTTCCAGTTAACCTGATGTAATATCTCTCTCGGGGCCGCTGAACGTGATTTGTCCTACAGAGTCACCGTTCTAGGCTGAGAGTCCAGGCCTGTAGGCCCTAGCGCTGCTGTTAGCTTTGGCTTGTGCTGTTAGCTTAGCTTACATTAGCACATACACTAACAGTTGGAATTCCATTATACAGTGACCTTGGCAATCATAGTTTTAGCTACAACATCATACTTAATAAAATTTTTAACTTGTTGTAAAACTTACCTTCATGTATAACTTTAGCACTGACATACACAAATAACAAAATCCAATTATTATATTATATTATATTATATTATATTATATTATATTATATTATATTATATTATTTGATGCTTAATAGTTAATGCTGCATTTTATAACACTGTTATATACGATGCTTAATTAAAAACTAATCTTAAAATATATATATATATATATTTCTATATATACACTTACAAAGTTGTAGAATTATACTTTATTAAATGCTTAGAAAATAACTATGATAAATATATTATACATACTGTACACTAACAAAAAAAACTCAAAAATGTTAAAATTAAGATATAGAATCATCATAGTACCAGGGCTTATGATTGTACCTTAAAATACCAAGAAGATTTAGTAGGTTACCCTAAAAATATGGTAATGGGTAAAACTTTGGTTAAAAATCAGTATATGAATGTATGCGTATGATATCAGTGTATGATATTTCCATATGACTGTGCCATGGCATTGCTATTCGCTAGCTGTGAGACCTAGCAACAGCCTACATGACATGTTACACCATCAAGGATTTAGTTAACGAACAAAGTGCTAACACTAAAACAAGCAATGAGCATAAGTGTAGTATAGTAAACCTTCCTTTAATCTTTGTGAGACCTTCAGGCTCATTGAGGAGGACATTTCAAAATGGCCGCTGTGTGTGATTACATGAGGATGAGTGATGGCAGAAGAACTAATAGAAGCCATCTGTCCCAGTAATGAACACACTCATCTTAACGAGCTGTTTTTAATTAAGGCCCACTGCATTAGCCATGATATGTTGCTTATCAGCAGTCTCCGTCATTATGCAAATATAATAAAGATCATCAAACAGCATAGAAATTAATAACTGAAGTGGCTGCCAAGTTTTGTTTAATGAATCTAGCAGAGATTTTGTATCGCCTCGCCACACTCATGACAATGACGAGATTTATGTTAAAGGTGGTTCTGAGGGCAGATTTTGGACCAAGATCCAATGATGTTGGAAGTAACAACAGGTTTATTTAACAGGTTCATAATCCAGTCGCTTTGCCGAGTTTTAAAAACAAGATGCTAACATGCTAGTACCAGGATAACTGCTTTTTTGTACACAGAGGAGATTATCCAAAAGACATTTGGAAGATGCTTCAATCCAACCTGACAAATTCTAGCGATTTTATTAGTATGTATGTTTTCTTGGACTCAATCCCGTGACCTTGGCAATGCTAACTTCATGCTAACATCGTACTCACGCTTTTCTAACTTCACTCTGCTTAATTAAAATCTCCAGCAGTCACAAAAAGGCTCATTTTCTATCCATATAAGCAGTCGATTGACTGTAGGGTGAATATTAATCTACTTAAAATCATTTCCGTGTGGCTCAGGGTCTGTAATGTCCACAGTGAGCCGAGGATAGACATAGGGAACGAATTGAAAGCCGGAGAAAGTCCAGAGCTGGAATGAAAACCTGCCCTCAAGCTCAAACGGCGACTTAACACTGCTGAAAGACCTGACAGCACTGCGTAACTCAATATGCTACCATGAGTAAATGGAAAGGACGTGGAATTGCAAGAGAATAACCACAATACTTCCCTGGGAAAACGACGATTAATCCAGATCTTTCTCTCTCCCCCTTTTCTGCTGTACTTAGTTTATACTGTATACATTATTGGTTTTGTGTGTGCAGCACACCCTGCTTTGCTTCAAAGACTGTGTGTGTGTGGGAGGGAGGGAGGCGAGCAGGCGCCCCTCGCTGACCCCGTGGTCATTAATCTCTCTCCTTGTCAGGGTAATGGATGATGATGGACAAGCCAGTGTTTGCTACGTATCACTGCACACATACTCTAAAAAACACTCTTGGTGCCCCACTGACAGCTCCACACACACACGCACACTCAGTCATTCAGTAGTTGACAGTGTCTGAAGCAATCAGTCAGTGGCTTGATGCTAAATCTGCGCTCTGTGTGTGTGTGATGTTGAAGTGTGTGTGTTTGTGGAAGTGTGGTGTAGAGGTGAAGTGTTAGCAGTAAGCCCCCTTTTCTGTAATACAGCATGGTCATTGTATGGAGCTCTGCTAACTCACTGTGGCACATACAGACTAATGCTGATGCCTGGGCCTCAGTCGCTCCCTCTGCTGGTGGAGCAGGGCAGTTCAGCCTGTGGTGGACGCTCACTTTTGTCTACTACATCAGCATCTCTGTAAATTATCACATTGTGTAGTTTTGGAAAGAATTATTAGAAAATTACTTCAAAAGTTTAAGGAATATTTCACCCAAGTTTTAGCAACTAACTTTTTTTTACTTCAGCTGTACATTACAAACATCAAACATGCTCTTTGGGGATTCATAAACTGCAAGTAGCTGCATTTTAAGAATCAAATCAACATATACTGTACAAGAAAACTAAATTAAAACCTTTTAATGGTCTATTGGAGGATCAGTCAGCGCATGAACCAAACATTATTACCTTTAATCCTGTGGATTTTTTGTGTTTTACTATTTGGACATGCTCTCCCTACATTTAAAGAGGTAGTTTACTCCAAATTACAAAGTCTGTTATCATTTACCCATGTGCCATTCTATGAGAAATTTGGGTAACACTTTATTTTTTTAGGTCCATTTGAGTATTAGTAGGCTGTCTGCTTAATATCTGTTGATACTGCTCCTTCAACAGACATTAAACTGACTATAAGAAACTTTGCAAGTACATGCCAACTTACACTAACCCCAACCCCAACCTAACAGTCTATTCAGAATCTAATGAGAAGTACTTGGCATGTATATGCAATATAACTTAAATTCAACAAACAGACCATCAAAATAAAATGTGATGAAATTTGTTCATCTTCAGAGTCTTCAAACCATTGATTAAGAGATGAAGAGATTGGATCATTGTATAAGATGCAAAAATTTAGGCTTTTATTCTCATTAAAAAAGTAATCAGATTACAGTATTCAGTCAA